TCCGCCAAACCAATTTTCCTGACTTTATCTCTCTTATTCATAGGAGAACTAGGGCTTTCAAAGGAGGACAAACTAAAAAAAAAATAAAAAATACCCAGAGGTTTGACTATTGAGCCTGAGGAAATCTCCTGGCTTTTTTCCACAGTAATCGTTCCAAAGTATGGACATTTTCAGAGATTACCAGTTTGCTGAATACACTTTTTTCCCCCCACTGTGTTTGATATAAAGTGCTTTTCCTTTCCACAGCCTATAAAAGAAGACTAATCCACAAACTGAAAGCCAAATCCTCCACTCTTCCCTCTGCTCAATCTTGGTGCAGAAAATAATATTCGTCAAGCAATAATCACACTGTATCGGCTGCCTGAGGCCTGATTCCTTATAGGATGAGAACCCAGGGAGTGATAAATTTCCAAATGACCTCTGTCAGCTCCTAAAAACAAAAAGCAAAGACAACGGCAGCCCATGTGAGCGGGAAAGACCAGCTCGAACTCAGCATAACGGGATCCGTGTGTAACAGAGATCAGAAAAACGTCCTCATATCCCCATCTAGTGGCTTTTGGTAAAATAAATCTGTAGTCCCTTCGTTTTGACATGCTGTCCTTTGTTACCGCAATCTGCTGAATGATAGACATGCATATTGCTGAACTTGACTAGCCAAAGCTGCTTGGTTTGATCTATTTTTATAAATATTCCTCAGGTTTGAAAGATGGCAGAAAGGAAACTTTAACCCAACTTACAAAGAAGTGCTAATTTAGTTAAGCATACTCTTTTTAAGACTGGGAGAGACCAGAATCACAGAAGAGCAGCCAAAACTTCTGTGAAAGGTGAGCATCTCCCATTGGATTCACACCCACTCTCCCACCTCTTACTCTCTATGCTTACACAGAGAAAAGGTGACTCATCATCTTATTTACTTTCCAGGAAATATTCCAGTTTTGTAACAGACTTTTGCCTGGCAGGGTGGCTTCTCCTGGGGTACTTTGGCTGCTCCAAGTGTTCAGGCCCCTTCCCTTTGGAGGTCGTGTGGTGTCACTTCTGCCGTGATGGCTGGGCCCAGCCTTTCTTCAAGAGGAGGTAAGTAAAAAGAATTTAAATTCTGATCTTTCATTTCAGGTGTAATTGAAATGTAATCAGTCACAATAATTCAGTGCTTCTTTTGTGTTGCTTGCTCTCTGACTTCTTTATGGCCCATAGGGGAGCAGAGCACTGGTGGGTCCCCGGGTCTGCAGCAGTTTACATCACTTTGTGACATGCTGGGATTACTCCAAACTGCCCAGCTGTAACTCCTGCACCTGCAGACTTATTGCTTCTAGTTATAGGCTGGTGGGTGAACCCTACCAAAGCACAGGAGCAACAAATCAGCACACCAGCACTGCTCAGAAACTTTAACATAAAGCCAACCTCCTATGGCACTGAGCTCCCTGCAGATACCTCCTCAGCCATCCCAGCCTTGTGAGGGTCCTTTTTCACAGCCTTCTTACAAAAAAAACCAAACCTGTTCCACTTAGTCCATCCTCTTGAACCAGAAAAACTTCTCAAGGACCAGTCTCCAGACCTTACTACTTGCACTGCTGACTTTGAGTCAGGGACAAAATCTTTCGCTGGCAATTTCTCATATTTTGGTACAGCAGGGTTTTTGCAGATACCCCTGTTTTGGAGCACTGTACCTGTTGGAAGTGTTTAATCCTGCTGAGGCTGCACTTCCAGCACATGCTATTGGCAGCTACAGGGAAATTTGAATTCTGAGTGTGTTTTCCTGGCTGAAAACGCGTGAGCTCTTGAGGGTTAAAAGGCACATTTTACCATACCTGCCTTTGCTCTCAGAGACATTTTTTTTTTTTTTTTGAATACTGTATAGTCTGTAGAGCAAAGCTGGTCTTCACCTTGAATAAAAGAGCCTTTTCTGCAGGCAGCCACATCAGACTCTCCCTTTGCCCTCTCCTTGGCTCTGTAATTACAACTACATGAGTTATGACCTCTAGTCAAATGGTTTGAGAAGGGTTGTTTTAAAAGGTCTGGAAGAACTGAACCAGCACCCAGGCTTTAATGAAAAGGCAAGAAGGGTTGTGTTAAAAAAAAATAATTGATCTTCAGACCTAGATACTTTGGGTTCTTTGGGAGGTTGAATACAAACATGACTGGAGCCCAGCAGCTCTTACTCCCACGGAGGGATGGGTTCTGTTTCTGTGATGCTGGTTTTTTCAGTATTTATCAGAAATCATATTCTTTTTCCTATAGGAAAATATCCTATACACACATATAAAAAACAAATACTGTTGCTCAAACTCCAAGACCTACTGCTTTCCATATGTTAAATATTTAATAGGATTAAAGCAAAAAAGTCTTCTCCTTTAATGAGAAATCTTTTCTTTAACTACAGGAAAATGAGTGCTACAAAATTGCTGGTTATCGTTCTATTTACTGGAACTTGCTTGGTGCAGAATAATGTTTGCACCAAATATTTCACTTTGGAGAGTACAGAAATTGCTGGATGTATCTTGGGAGATACATCTAGAAAAACTGAAAATATGTAGCGATGAAAACACTTTCACTGAAAAAGGGAAAACTGCTGCAGAAGAGAATACCTCTCACAAGAAAATCGGTTACACAAAAAAATTACGTGAGCCTTAATCAGTTGCCCTAGGTGGAACTGAAAGGGTCTCAAAAAATAAACTACTAATCATAGAGTTACAGAATGGTTTGGGTTGGAAGGGACCTTAAAGACCATCTAGTTCCAACCTCGTTTCCATGGACATTCTGTAAAAATGCCAAGGACCTTCCTGACATTCATCAGCCTAAAAGTTGATCACTATTTAGAAGATAAAGTCATTGAAATTTGATTTCTGAATATCCAGGCTTTTCTGCCTGGAGACACAGGTTCCAAACTTGTCATGATGGGATGATGGAGATGGAACACCGAGGGAGCTCGGGGTCGTGGGTAATACCAGCCTCAGGCATTGCTTGCCCTGGGGAAAGTGAATGACCTATTTCTGCTGGATCAGCCCAAAACTGACCTCTGCAGCCGCAGTGTGTGGGGATAAACACAGTTTCTTTGTTTTTCTCTCCCTGCAGCCCAGCTCTAGCTTTAGCCATCACCTCACTGATCAAACACCAGCTTTTTCGATTTGCACGGAAAACTGAGTTCAGAGCGGATTTAGTCACGAGCTTGCCAGAACACCCGAAAACACAGCTTGCAGAGGGTACATCCTCCAAAGCCACCCTGCTGCCAATTTCTGCCGGCCAGGGCAGCTGCCCACAATGTCCCGTTGTTTCCAGCACTGGGGAACAAAGGCTGTTGTTGTAGGCTAATGCCGGCTCAGTTGTGGCATGCGCCTACGTGGTATCCTGGAGCTGGGAGGGACACAAGGGGACACGGAGGGGTATCAGTACCCCCTGGATGTACAAGGAGGTTTCCAAGGGCTGCGCAGCTCCTGGATGCTGGAGATTTCTCAACAGCTCCTGTTGCTCTGGGGAGGTATGGTTTCCTGCCGGGACCTGCGGGGTGTCCATCCCTGGCGTTGTCATTGGGGAATGGAGGGGTAGCTTAGCTGGGACAAGGAAGATGTGGCTGGGGGTCATGAGGCAGCTGAGATATTCCAGGTGCATCCACTGGTGCACAGTTGGTGTCGGGGGCTGGCACTTCTGGTAGGAATGTTTAGGGATTGAATTGACTGATGTAAAAATCACTGCTCAAGTGGTCAAATGGAGCCAAATCCGCGCTTTAGATCTAGCAAAGAGGTTCTTATCTTTCCTCATCTATACAAAATATTTCAATAAATATTTGGAATATTTTGGTTAGGAGTAGCAATGCAGTCATTTCTAGCTTAATGTGCTGCTGTGGACCTGCCTTGCAGCGGATAACTTGAATCCATTTGGAAGCCAAATCTAGTCTAAATCAAGGCAGGTCACTTGATGGTGAAGCCTCTCCACTTGAGGTCCCTGGTCTCAGGGATCTGTGTGGGGCACACAGTGTTTTGGGTAGCTCAGCAAGGGATGAGGCTTTATCTCTCATTTGCTAAATCCGTTCTACTCATTGCCCTCAGAGGAAGGGAGTGAAGAGGGTCCTAATGCTGCTCTTTTCACAAGCAGACTTCACTTGGAAATAGAAAGTCATTAAATCCTTTCTTTTTTTACATTTGTGTTACTAGATTTTAGGCAAAAGGAACATCAGTCCTGTGGATGTGGGCAGGGGGAAAGCTGATGCAGGGTGCAGGGGACACTCAGGATTTCCTGTATTTGGAACAGCGACCACTGCACCTTCTGCTGTGTTAGCCTCTCCTGGGAACCTCCAACCACCTCTGGCTTGGACAGCTGTCCCAAAAAATGCTTTCTTGCCTTCTAATCCCTGCGGTTTAGCAAGCAGAGAGGGAGCAGGCTGGGCTCGCTGCCCCCCGTCCTGGCTGCCCGCCCACCCCCATTCCCTTCGTGGGGCAGGACCGGGGATGTGCCGGGCTGCCCTACTGCGGGGCTGCAGTGCTCGCAAGAGCCCCATTTCCCCCTGAATCAGAGATGGAAAAATCACTTGCTCAGGTCTCTGGGCAGTCAGAGCTACTCTTGTCCCTGGAGAAGGCAGGGATCTCTCAGTGCATGCCCCATCTATCAGGCAGCAGCGCGGCAAGGATGCAGGAAAGAGTCCCTTTCTGCCCAGGGCGGTGAGCACGGAGGAAGGTTTCACAGCACATTAAAAAGTGAACGCAAACAGCCTCCCGTCCGTCCGGACACTCCTCAGCCGCTTCCACTCAGGCTTTAAAGGTTTGGAAGTCTCAATGTGTCCCTTTTTTTGTTTCTCTCCCCCTGACCGCAGCGCAGCCCCCGCGCGATGAGGACATCCCTGCGGACGCCGGGCCCCGCTCACTGCCCGCCCCGGCCCCCCGCTCCTTCCCCGCGGGGCTCGGGTTTCCTCCCCTCGCCCCAGTGACGCTGCCTGTCCCGACAGGTGCCGGCAGAGCCGCGGCCGCGCTCCCGGGTCGCCCCCAGCGCCGCGGGGTTTGAGCGTCCGGCGCGGCGCGGGCGGCAGGTGGACATGCTGACCTAGGGGCTGACCCCCGGCCCCGTGCCCAGCTGCTGTGTCACAGAAGCACAGAGTATTCTGAGCTGAAAGGGACCCACGAGGATCATCAAAGTCCAACTCCTGTGTCCCTGGACAGCATCCACCCCGACAATGGACGCGGCCCCGGAGGCGAAGAGGTAAGTGGGTTTTGGCAGGGAGCGGGATAGTGTTTCCCCAACATGCCGCTGTTTCTGTGTCACAGATGGGTGTGTGTAAGGTGGGAGTGGCAGAGGATGTGCCCATGTCCTGGGAGGGAAAGGGGCTAAGGGAGACTTTTAGCCCCTCCACAGCCTAAGTTTAGGTATAATTAAATGTATACGAGTTATGAAGATATTCTTGCAATTTGTGTTCCTAGAAAAAACTTCTTTAACTTAAAGGGGCTGCATCATTTAAAGCAACACTGTGAATTCCTTCTGTGCCCTGCATCTGCAGTCCATAGTACATCCTGCTTGATTCGTGGAGGGAAGAGGTTTAACCTTGCTAATACAAGCTCCATCTTAGCTGGGACCTGTGACAGGACCAGCAGCCTGTGAGCATCCCACTCCCTGGCAGTCACCAGCTCCGTCCTGCTGTGGGCCTTGGGGCCTTGGGGTGGGCAGTGCCAGCCCAAAATGTTGTATTCAAATTTTAGGATCTAGATTTTAAGCCAGATTTTAGAGGAAATCTATTTGTTCCCATTTTACCTTGCCACCAACAAGCTTTAATCAATCTTAGAATCTAACCCCTGCCTGGGGAGAAATGGCAAAAGTGTCAGTGGAAGAGTTATCTTGGTGTCATCCGTCCTGGTGAATTCCTGTGCTGCACTCTGCCCAGGTCACCTGGCAGGTCTCCTGGCACGGCTGGAAACATTTGACCGGTCAGAAATGGAGCTCATGCCCAGAGCTGTTCCTCTAGGGAAGCCGGGGGAACAGGGGAAGCCATGCTACCCCTCAGCATTTTAGTGGGACATTTGTTCTGAAAACCGTCTTGCTGGGTCGAGCCAGCTGAGGGGACAAAACAGTCCTCTGTATTGGCAGGCAGAGATGGAAGAGGGTAGAGTGGAAATTGGAGGGACTGGCCTGCAGCCAAGCTGGAGCTTATGGAGGTGGGCTGAGTTCCGGCTTGTTCCTGTTGAACTTCCATGAGGCCTTTCCTGAGGAGAGGTGAGGTCAGGGTGGTGAAACCGAGACCTTTGAAGTTTCTCACAGGAGACAATTACATGGCTTTGGTACTGAACTCAGATGAAATCAACTGCTCTTGGAGGACTCTGGCAGTGCCCCAGCATCTCCAAGACTTCTGGGACATCTCAGTCCTTTCTTGCCTTCATTGACCAAAGCAGTGTGCTATTTGCACCTGTGGCCACTTCTTTGCTACCTGCCAGCAAATTGTTACGTTTGCACCTCAAAGCCCCACCACAAGACTCCCTTCTTTACTTTTCCACCTCCTACCTTGTTTCTTCTTCACATGGAATTTTTTTTCCATGGTAGAGGAGAGTTGTGGGTTGCTGTCTGCTATCTCAGACTGCTTCTCATGAAGCATGTTCTAGCAGCAAGGTTTTGGGAGCAGTGATGTGTTAGGTTATACAGAGGTTATACAGGAATATCACCCTTAAGTCTTGCTGTGCATCTTGATGCTGAAATGTGGTTACCCAGGAGATGACTATTCCCTTTGCATACACAGATCAGACAGATCAGCCCAACACTTTACTTGCAGAAGCAAGGTCCTTGCTCCAGTTTAATTTCCTCCCTTCCTTTTTTCCAGTGGCACCTCATCCCTGTTTTATAGATGAGGCATGTTTTAAAAGGAAAGAAGATGTGACTCCGTTGCTGGAGGTCTTCACAAAAAAAAAGCTCCCGAAAACTAAGAGTGAAAACATGTAACTTAATGAAAACATTTATGGCCAAATGCCCTCTTTGACTTTTGTCCTTCGAACAAATATCTTCTGCAAGTTACCTGATGTAATATTTGCAGCCAGGAAAATCTGAAGTAAAAAAACCAAAACAAAACAAAAAAACAAACAAACAAAAAAAGGCAAAAAAAGCAAAGCAAAAAGGGTCCCTGAAACAACAGGCAAGCAGATATTTTAGCACTTCGGGTGCTGATGCTCACTATAACCTTCTCCTAATTTCACTGCTCTTTTTTTTATTTCATCCATGACTCAAGGTTTCACAGGGTGTGTAATATCAGTCTAATGCCTTCAACTGCATTGACTGGTTAATGATTTTGCTGGTGTACAAAAACTTCCACAACACAGACAAACACTGGTGCAGGTGGCCAGTTTTGGATGCCCCCTCCCTGGAAGTGTCCAAGGCTAGGTTGGATGGGGCTTGGAGCAACCTGGTCTAGTGAAAGGTGTCCCTGCCCATGGCAGGGGATTGGTACAAGCTGAGCTTTAAGGTCCCTTTCCATCCAAAATATTCTAGGATTCTATGACTCTATGATCAGCTAACAAAGAAGTTTTGACTTCCCTTAGTAAAAAAAGAACAAATCATTGATTATCAGGAGAAAAAAAATCTGTCCTGGAGCATCTTCCCTTTGTTCTGCATTTTCAATGCAGCTTCAAAAAAACATACAGGTTCTTCAAATAACTGAAGTGCTATACTTTCCTTACAGGAATAGTTTCCCCAGCATGAACTTTGAAGCAGAGATTCTGACAACTCCACACGATAATTCAGGTATTTGGGAGAATAAAAAAGGAGAATAAAGTAAAATGCCCACTCACCTTGCTATCACTACAAATATATTTTAATTCTTTTGGAGTTAGAGATTGTTTAAAAAAAAAAAAGAAAGAAGCAGGAAGATAAACTGACTGCAATTCAGGTGATTTCAGGATTATGTTAGGGTTTAGTTCGAAGTGTTGAGGGTAGATGTTGATATTTTTCTGGACCAGAAACACAGCTGTCAATGACATGTGGTTTTGGAAACAGCAGAGTCATTTGAGACTGCACAGTCCCGGATGAGATATACAGTTTTCTTACTAGTGGCAACTAAAAGCAGATGATAAGAAAGCAGCTCCCTGAAAGGCAAAAATGAGGATGATGACGTTCTGCTGTGTCCTGCGCTTCATCCTCGTTTTGTCTAGGAGGAAAAGGTGATTTTTTCCCCACTGAATGATGCCTTTCCAATGTTGATCTCGCACACGGAGGCTGGCACTACAGACCCAGAGCCAGTACCCAGCTGCAGGGTATCTTCCCGTGAGCCTCCGGTCTTAGTCTTGTTGTAGGTCCTCACACCCAAGCAGCTGGCCAGAGCTTGTGCCCTGGTAACAGCTCTGTCATTAGGATGAGACAGCAGGAAAGGGAGTTTTTACAATAATTGCTTGCAACCCCTGGAGTATCCCTGGTTTCGACTCTGAGAGAGAAATCTTGTTGTCAGCCAACCACATTTGAACATGAGCCCATTCAGATGAACCGTTTTGATATCAGTTACGCTCCTGGCCATGAGCTGCAATTCCCAGCAGGGAATTCACCCCCCTGGCAGCCCATGTCAGTCCCATGCTGGCGAGAGTCAGAAATGAGGTGCACAGGGTTGACTATTTTTGCTTCAGCTGCAGGTGGTAGTTTTTGTGTTGCATCACCTCTCCTAAGAAGTGTTTTAGTAGCTGCCCATCTCAGTTACACTGCCCAGCATGGGCACGAGTGATGGGCCCCCCACCAGGTGTGGACCTGTTGTGCAATTCCCTTCACATTCCTAGAAAAACCCTCCAGTCCTCATATCTGCCTAAGCATTTTGGAGACATTTTCCTCGGGCTTACCTCTAGTGATGAGGCACTTAACAAAAATGCTGATGTCAAAGGATATCCAAGAATAATTTTCAAACCCTGAGTGCAAACCAGTTGGAAAGTGCATCCTCTGCATCACCTTCCCAAATCTCTCTCTCCTGTCGGGTTGGGTTGGGTTTCTTCCATGAGGTAAGTGCTTTGACCCTTCACTTGCCTTGAAACCACTAACATGCAATCCATATTTGTTTCTCAAGAGCTGTATACGACGATCCCTTCCATGAGAAGCCTCACAGCTGAGGAGTATGTGGAGGCCTTTAAGACATTTTTGGATCATTCAACAGAGCACCAGTGCATGGACGAGTTCAACAAGGAACAACTGCCCAACATCATGTCTGGGTAAGGATTGTTTCCACCGAGCTGGGAAAGCCATCTGTTATCCTGGGAGGGCAACCTGCATACAAGGGTCAGCAAACACATTTAAGGGTTTTTTTGGGCAGGAATGAACTTTAATGCTTTTCAGTTTTAAATCCTCTAATAGTGAGTTACAGGATATTCTGCTAAAGGACTCCAGAGTATGTGCTATTTCAATTAATACACTGTGCTGCCTCTTAGCTTATGTTAAGGAAAGAATCAAGACCTCATTTTCATGTCCATCTCTTTTCATTAGCTGATTTTCCAAGGATTAAATTTGGGGTTTTTTGGTTGTTTGCTTTTTCCAAAAGAAAGCTCTCATGCGGTCTCTTCCTGCTTTTGGGACTTCATCACACACCATCTAAACAGAAACACATTTCTAATTCTCTTCTAGTGACTAATTCTTGGTTTTCTCAATCCCTTAAGACTTCCTTATTTCTATCCTAAGTCGATTTGCATTGCTTAAGTACCAAATGATAATCAGTTTTGTGAAGTATTGATGTAATATATTAAGACTGGATAACTGTAGATAATTTCAGAACAGCCTAGATCCAAACCATAAGAAAGCCCTTTCAAGTTTGGGTAATTTTTGGATGTTACAGCAACTGTATTCTCCATTGAGAAAAAAGTTTGGGCAGGAATTTTTTATTCTCTGGATCAGATATATATAAAAAATAAGCAATAAAATTATAGTAATTCGAAGATTGTATTGGGAAATTTTTATTGTGAATTTAAATGATGCAAAACCTTGTGGCTTTCTATGATGCTGATTGTGGGTCTGTCAAAGGTCTTGACCCTCATTAGGTCTAAGGCTCCTTGGCTACTCACACCCTTCAGGATTTCCTGCTCATTCCACTCTTGTGGAATCCTTGCTGTGGTGTCTCCTGAGACTGTGTATGGGAAACTCAATTCCCCAACACAGTCCATGCCCAAGAGCAGAATAAAGCTATAAAACAAGTCAGAACATGGCCCCTCATCCTTGAGCCAGGCAGTTATTAAATATTCTGCTATGAACCACATGACTGGAGTCCTTTAAAAAGTAATTTTTCTAAGATAAAAGTTATTGAAGATTCCTCCCAATTTTTAACCAAGATTAATGTTGATAAGAGATGATTGGTGGGTCCCTTCCGACTCGGCACATTCTGTGATTCTGTTATTTCCAATCACCTGGATAGCCTGACGGTTTTGCTTTCTCTGGGTATTTATATCCAATATTTTCTCCTGAGGGTGCAGAGGTTCTCCCCAGCTCACCTTGTCCCTGCATTCTCTGCAGTGCCCACTCCAGCCAGGCACAGCCCTGCTGCCCCCAAAGGGAGCCCTTTGCCCTGGGGATCCCCAAGGCTTTTTTACACAGTGCCAGCCACAGCCTGAAGGAAACTCTCTGGTAAAGGGGGAGAAACACTACACCCTGGTACCTACTGCACTTTGAAATATGAGCTTGCGAATACTGGACTGGCTCCCACCACGCTGGTTATAGCTGGGCTCAAGAGGGATGCTCCAATTTCTATCCCAATTTTTATGCATAACATGAAAATTTCTGGGCCAATGTGTCATCCAAGCAACAAGAATGAAAACAAAAAGTCATGTGACATAGTGTGGTTGAGTAACACATACTTATCCTTTCAGTCTTGGCCATGGAAAATCGACTATAAATGTTCTGGGAGTTGGAAGTGGCACAGGTAAGGAGTGTGGCAGCACTGCTGATGCTGGGGAATGGGGGTCCCTGTGGGTAGCAGAAGGTTATTCTGAAATTTTGGGCAATGAATATAACTACTCAGGCATTAATGACAGTGCTTCTCACTGAAACAGAGAAGGGCAGAAGGAAGAGTGGAGCTGGGATGAGAACAAGGCTCCCTCCCTCCCTTCCTTCCCCACTTCCCTTCTGAAATGCTGCTGCTCGAGTCTTTCTGAGCAGTGAGATGTGTGTGATTTTAGCTTAGTTACTGCCTCTTGAAGACTCTCACCTGATTTTATATGCCTCAAAGCAAAGTCTCCTGTTTCTGATCAGGTATAAGAGCATCTTCAAACCTTGACAGAGAGACATCAGAGAGGTTCTTTCCACACAAAGTCCTGCCTTAGACCAACCCACCTGAAGGGATCTCTCTTTTTGCTCTGCTTTTAGGGATCCCGGAGGCCAAGGCTGGGCAATGGCCTGCTCCCAGGACTGCAAAACCAGCTGGCCACAATCATTAGCATGGGGTTGCATCAGCTTTTTCAAGACATGTTTCTTTGTTACTGCTCTGTTTTTATCCAGTGAAAAGTAGAGTTTAACTGCAAATGATATTTTTCCCCAGAGAGAAACCCATCCTTTGGAAAAACAGCTTTAAAGCTAAAATTCTAAATGTATTTGTGTTTAAAAAAAAACAAAATCAAAAAACGTGGTGAAACAGCTAACTTTGCTCCTAGGGAGACTGGGATAAAATAAAAAGTAGAGAAAAGAAACAGCAGTTCAATTTGTCAGAGTTTACTTTTGCTTTGAAAAGTATTTTCAGCTGAATTTTAAGTGCTAATACTTTCAAATGAAAGTATTTTTCTCACTTTTTCCCCCCTTGTTTTCCTGAGTAAGTGAAAATTAGCATTGGATTGTTTTCCTCAACTGGGAATATGTTGGAGCATATGAGAAAGCAAGCAGGAAGAAATAATTCAGTTCTCAATTACATTCTATTTTCATTAAGTAATATAAAACAGAAATCCTGACTCCAAGAAAACACAAGGGGAAAATGAAGTTTTAGCACCATCCTTAATTTTCCTTATGTCCTTTTCAGAAGAGGTTTTAATGGAAAAATAAAAACTCTAAAATTTCCTCTGTTTCCTGGCTGACTGCCCCTCACAGATGACAAGACAGTGGTACAGACCCACACCCCCTCAAGGCTGCATGAGCTGAATGTCTGTGGCTGGGCAGGGAGTGAGCTGGGATGGCACTGAGCAAAAGGTTATGTCTGATCCCTGACCTTTCCAGGCATGGACTCGGGTTTCACAGAGCCCCCAGAATTAGTTTAGTTGATGAAAATATTAATGGGGATTAGTGACCAACTGTACATCCTAAAAGCCTGTGTGCCAGTCCAGATCACATTTTCTCACTCACCCTGTGTTTTCCCATGACCGGTTCCAGCAGCATGGGCTGCTGGTTGCCAGAGGGGTTTCATTCTTGTCCCAGCCTTGCTGTGGTCAGCGCTGAAGGGTTGTTGCTGGCAGGGCAAGCTGGAGCAGAGAAATCCCTGCTCTGGAGCATCGTATTTTGCTGCTTCTTTTCTGCAGACAGCCTGGTTGAGGACGTTATTACCTGCTCTTGCAAAGACTGGATTAAGGAATTTTGCAGAGATGGAGTGAAAAAAACCAAACCCAAGCAGCTTTTAAGATACCCACTTGCTGCTGGTATACTCATTTGCCACCATCAGTGGCTCCAGGGCATGGGGCAGTGATGCTTTGCCTCCCACCTGCTCTGAGCTTGCAGGGAGCCCACAGCAGCACCTCTAAGGGCTGATGCTCCCCACCCCAGGCACTTAAAAACTGAAATTTAGGACTTTCTAAAATGATTCAGCTGCTTGCTATGGGGATCTTCCTTCCTGACAACAATGTTGGTCTGTGCACCTGCCTTCAGCTGATGCAGCCGCAGCCTCTTCCCTTGTGCCAACCCTGCACTGCTGCCACTTCATTCCTCAGGGGCCTTGGGTATTTTTTCTCCAATTTCAAAGGACTCCTCCTGCCCTGGATGTCCCTGTAGTGCTGGCATGGGTAGTATTTCCCTCCTTGAATTCTATTTATCGCAACACCTGCCAAAGATGACGACTTTTCTCATGGCTGATACATCAGCTGAAAGGCTAGGGAGGATGCAGTATCTCATATCAAGACCTCTCAGTGTGACATTTGCACAGGCAGGACTATTTTTAAGTCCCACCATCAGCTAGAGACAGGATTCTTGCTGAAGTCCTGACACGGTGCCCACCTCTGCTGTTTATTTACATAGTTCCAGGTGAACTAGGTGGACTTTATAGGCTTGGTATATCACAGCATTTCTGGGAAAAAAGCAAAGTGACCTGCATGATGTCAAAAAAAGCTGGAAATTTCCTAGCACCGGAGGACAGACTGCTGCTTGCTTCTCCAGAGCTTAGACTGCAGCAGAGGAGCACCAATAGCTAACTTTGCAGGGCACATACACACACAGTTAGATTCCACCATGCAAGCCACAAGGTCAAATATGCCTCACTCCTGCTCCTGACAGTAGTGGTGGCAGATGCTCTGGCACCCATTCATCACATTTACCTCCTTCTTAAAACAATGAATTTGTGTTTATTGAACAGGTGAGCAGGATTTGAAAATGATCAGGATACTGCAGGCTGTGCACCCAGGGGTCCTTATTGACAACGAAATCGTAGAGCCCAACCCGCAGCACGTGGCAGCTTACAAAGGTAAGGCTGTACCTGCTGCCTGGGGTACAGTGAGGACCATCCATCTCCTGTTTTATGAAATTCATGGTTTTTTCTACTTTTAAAAACAGAGTTGGTGAATCAAGCTCCAGACCTGCAGAATGTCTCTTTTATTTGGCACCAGCTCACTTCCTCAGAGTACGAACAGCAGGTGAAAGAGAAAGGCACGCATAAGAAATTTGACTTCATCCATATGATCCAGGTAATGGGCATTGCTTTGACATAGGAGTATTAACTTTCACTCCCCCCTTAGTTTCTGATGTATGCATGAAGTTAGGATGATCAGGGCTTAGTGTAGCTCTCCTGTGAGCAATAACTTCTGCAGGGGCTCCACAAACACCAAAGCTGACGATGCCCAGTCCTGTGAGGTGTCCCTAAATGTGTGTGCTGAGTCAGGACAGGTTGGGAAGCAGCTGGTACACAATAAAAACAACTCTATAGAAAGGGTTTAAGGCTTTGGAGGGTCGTTGCACTGTGGAGGAGGAATAATGGCTATGTGTAACTGTCTCTTCTAGATGCTGTACCGTGTGGAGGATATTCCCAATACTATCAAGTTTTTCCACAGCTGCCTCGACCTTCATGGTAAACTCCTGATCATAATTTTATCGGGTAAGTGGAACCTTTTATTTTTTTTGCTTCATATCTGGAGTTTTGAAGAACTTTGAATTTGAGAGCCACAAATGTTTACCTGGGGATTTCAGTAACACTTATTCTGTAGTAGATAACTAAAACTAGTGCTGGATTTCATATGGAGCATGCAATCTTGGGCTTAGTCTCTTGGATCACAATGTCTAAGGCACAGATTTTGTGTTCTTGCTTCCCTGCTTATGAAGATTTAGTAGACAGAAGTGTGGCTGTTTATGAATGGGAGTCAATTCTTCTTCCTGGCAAAATCAGCACTGTCAAAACACAACCAGAGCTCTGGGTGGGCCCAGTTTTGGTGCTCTTATCTCTGCACAGTGGTGGTCCAGACCCCAGCAGGACAACAGATGCTGCCAAGAGCTGCAGGCTTTATGGTAGGACAGGGAAAAGAGGCACTTATAAGATGGTGGCATTTATTAAAAACAATAGAGTGCTTTATCCCTTGTGTCATTCATAAATCCTGGGCTCATGGTGGGGTGGACAAAGCATACTTTCTCATGTTTGCCATTAAAACTCTCTCTCACATTGCCTGTAGGCTGTTTCCCTTGCTCTTTGGGGCTATTTTTCCAGGTATATATTCTTTGATGTGTACTTAAAACTGAAGTTTGATGTATAAAAACATCTGCACTATTCTAGCCAAGAGACAGTTAACAGGTAGTGTGGATGTTCAGGGTCAGCATGTTTTTACTTCTGCGTGTATCCCTCCTTCTGGGCAATCCCAGTGCTGGAGACCATCGCCTAGGAGTTTCCTTTAAACAGCAGAGTTTTGGAGGGAGGGCTGAGGGAAAACAGAGTTTTACCCCTCTTTAGGCACAGACTTTTATAAGTAGACTCAAGTAAGGGGAAAGCACTCCTCCTGGTCCTGGCACGGCCTGGGGAGCATTTCCAGCTCATTTCGTAGGTGCATTAGCTGGTGTTTGACTGCCTTGGCTTTGCAAAAGTAACCTCCCCTCCTGCCCTGGCAGACAGCAGCGGGTGGGCCAGCTTATGGAAGAAATACAGGGACTGCCTGCCTTCCACCGACAGCGGCCACTACATCACCTCCAGCGGCATCACGGATGTCCTGAAGAGACTCGGAGTCGAATACCGCGTGTACGAGTTCCCGTCGGGATGGGATATCACCGAGTGCTTCGTCGAGGGGGACGCAGTTGGCGGCCTCATGATGGATTTCCTGACGGGGACGAAAGACTTCCTGGGCACGGCGCCGCCGGCGCTGCGGCAGCGGCTGCGGGAGGCTCTGTGCCAGCCCGAGTGCAGCAGCACCAAGGACGGCAGGATCATCTTCAGCAACAACCTGAGCATGATCGTGGTGGAGTCCTAAAGCCGGACTGACTGCAGAGGGCAAGCTGGGGTGGGGATGAGGATGATGCAGTGACAGGAAAGTGTAGCATAGAAAGAAGGTGACTCACAGCAAGAAGGCAAGAAAGTGGGGCTCAGCTGCAGCCTACCACTGCCAGCCAGTGTCAGCAGAGCTGCCCGCCACACTGGGACGAGCTCCTTGTCCTGATGAGGTCACCAGGTCCAAGATTACACCCTGGCTACTTAGTCCATCCCTAGGAGAATATTTTCCAGAAAGTAAAGAGCTCCATCTCACTAAAAGCCTACATGGACTTGTTTTTTAACAGTAAACATCCTGTCTGTGCTTTCAACACTGGGACTTCCACTTTTCTATGTAGCCAGCATGTTTGCACACCTAAAGATGGGTCTGTATGACCAGGGGCTGCTTTGCAGCCAGGAGCAGGCTGCAGCCCTTGTGCTGGCCATGTACAGACCCAATGCTTCCACTTGAGCTGGACAAAACCAGCAAGACATCCCAGCTGCTTTGCACCCAGACCTGAGCTGTAAGTTGCTCTGCATTAGGGTATTTCACATGGTTTTGTCAATGTAGGTATTTACTACCCCAAGCCTCTCAGCATCTTGCAATATGGACATGTCTTAAAAATTTATCAGCCTTTTTATTTGGAGAATATTTCGGATCCCAGGATGATCCTTGCCACATACTCTTTCAGGCAGATATTAATTTTGTTACTTTCTTACTACAGTTTGTCTCCATATAAAATAAAAGCAATCCTAAACCAAAAAAGTCACATCTTTTTCTGCACATATGAGCTTACAGAAAATGAAGAGCAAAGAGGTTATTTAGTTAAAAACAAAAAATATGCAAAATACCATTTTATGGGAGCATTAAGGATTTCTTGTAAGTGAGAAAGATGAACCTGGGGATGTGGAAGAGCTGTGAGCGAGCTGCAGCTTGTCCTTGTGCTGCAGCCCTGGGAGGCAGCTTGTCTGTCACTGCTACAGCAAAACAGCACCTACAGTACTCAAATATGGTGTATGTGGTTAAGATGTTAATATAGGTGAGATAAGACTATTACCACAGGGTCCTGAGCTGTTTGGGGGACTGGGGGAGGTGCTGCCAGGGCAGCCAGCTCCAAAGGGAGGTGCTGCACAGGATGCTAGCAGGGTTTGGCTCTGCATTTAGTGCCTTAAAGCAGTGCAGCCCTTGGACTGACCACAAGGGGAAAAACTGCCTGCAGCCACACCAGCCTCACAGCAAAGAGGTCCCAGGGCAGGAAACACCAGCTCAGATGGAAAATACCTGCAGGCACAGAGCCCATCTCTATGAACTGATTTTTCCATGCTTAAGCTGGATAGCACACACTTGTGTGCACCTGAAGGGGCTCAGGTACCGCTGCCACCTTGATGTCTGGTATGGATCAAATGGCTTGTTCCAGCATCATGAACACATGGGTCAGCACACTGGCTTGCAAAACATTAGATGTCATTGTCATCCAGAGCCCTGCTGGTGCTGCTAAACCTATCCCCCCCCATTCACTGGCCATCTGCCCAGACACAGTTACTGCCAGGAGTAGCATCGCACTGTCTGAAAAGGTAATGAGCCCATGGAGTCACTGTAGCCCCATCCTGTCCTTCATTTTTTTGGGGTATGTTTTTTAGGTTTGGTTTGGTTTTTATCACCTTTTTGAAGGGCAACCATTTCTCTTGAAACTCTTGTAAGGGAAAAAAAGAGAAAAGTAGTGGGAAAACAGTAGAATAATATCTCTCTGGCAGTACTGGAGCACCCTGGTCTGTAGGTACTGTTGCTGGTATTTCAAGAAACATCAATCCAAACTAGACAACCTGCTCCAGAGGAATACCTGTGCACCATACCTGTGCACAAGCTTTTCCCTTTGATCCATTCTATTGTTTGTTCTATAGGCATCTCCTTTGCTTGTGCTGGCTCCCAGCACTGGGCAGGGAGTGTACAGCTGGGCTGTTGGGCAGGCTCTCAGCACTACTCCCATTCATGTTCTCCTTCCACTATGGAGTCCTGGGATTTATTCCCAAGCGATAGTGATGTCTCCGGTTTCTATCTGGAAAGGAAAAACAAAATGTACCCCAAACCAGGCTTGCTTTTCAAGCTCCAAAGAACAATCTGTCTGTTAATCTTTGCAGGAATTTGGCACAGTCCAAATTCCCCCAGATCTTCCCCAACCCAAAAGGTTTTTCATCCCTCCTTGGAGTTTCCTGACCAGGCAGACACATTTCCAATAAGCAGATTCTCAGCAAAACCCATCTGCGAGCACAATATTTACCCACATCATTGTAAATCAATGTGCAAATGCTCAGAAGAAAAGGAGCACTTCAAAGCAGACTGTTTAGTGACAGCCTGGAGAGATGAAATAGGACACCCCATTAAAAACACGGCTGCTTAGTGCTTTATCTGTATTTTTTCTTTTGATTCTTCAAAAGCAAGTAATTTATCAACGACTCTGCTTGTACCCCTGGAATAAATAGCATCCTAAGTGTCTGTTCCATTTATTTATATATTTATTCTTCGGCGAACGTGCTATTTAATAACTATTTGTTGTGCTTTTTACAAGACGCTCTCCTCCCACACGGAATTTCGGGCTGTGCTTTCCCAGTAGCAGGAGCGCGGCTGCGTCTGTGTGGCCACGAGAGGGCTGCAGCAGCCAGCGAAATAAATCCTCCTCCCAAAACGCTGGAGATGGTGAGCTGAAGAAGCAGCATCAAGTAGTCAGGCTGACAAACGCATCCAGCTTTCCATGCTGGCTCATCGCATCCTGATCCCAGCTGCTGGGGACCACGCTTTTTTCTCCTGCAGAATCACGGGCTCTGACTCTGATGTTGGGGTCTGTTTTATAAAAAAAGTCGTGATTGCACAACACAGATGACGCAGGAGGTGCATGAAATCTGCTTTTGGGTTGTTTATTTTATCCCACTTGATGGCTGAAGTGCTGCAACTTGGCTGCCTCTCAAGGCCAGGTCTGCAGAGAGAGAACCAGGAGTCACAGCTAACCAGGGAGGAAAACACAAGGAAGGGATGTCAGGAGTAGGAGGTTGCTTCTGCTTTAGCTTTGAGCCAGATTAACCCTGCTGAGCTCAGGCCAGGATGAGCCCTACTCTGCTGCAGTTAGTGAGGAGCTGGTCCATGTCTCCCAGAGGGAGCTGTGCCACTCTGCACTACAGGTTGTTCCAGCCCAAAGCAAATGCTTTTGTGGATAACCATGCAGTAAGCTGCCCTGTGTACTCTGCAGTAGAATTAAGGCCTGCAAAGCCCAAACTGCATTGTTTCATGTGGAGCAGTTGCAGATTTTATCCTTATTTTCAGTTAGTAATATGCCCATTTCAACGCAGAGCTCTAATTATGTGTTACAGTCCCCGAAAAAGGAGCTACAGAGAGCAGCTCTTTGTAACATCAAGGATGGATAATTTTAGTTTTACTGGGCCTATATGAAGTCTTGGGGGCTGACTTTGAAGTGAATGTTAAGGCTTCTCTACCCATGAGCATCGCCAGGGGAATGAAGGTGGCATCGAAACTGCAAGATCTAATAGCTGATTTCTGAATAATCCCATTAAAAGACAAGCTCAGTAAAATAGTAGACCATATATTGAAAAGATTAAACCTAATGTCAATCAGGGGGCAAAGGATAAAAATACAGAGGCTGAACTTTTTTACCTCTCCCTTCAATATTTGCCCAAACAAATTTGTTGAAGCTTACATCAAGGATGTAGCAAATCTTTGAGTACCCCATGCATTCTTCATAAATAAATACACCAAATAAATGCATGGCTGTAAGGTGAGATCTCCACTAGTCAGGAGCTGTACGATATCTATATTAATAGTTTTCATTGAGATACCAAGGCTTGCCCTGCAGTCTTTAGATTTAGGATGCTAGTTCTGGAGGTCCCTTGGGTGCAGAAACCTGAGGCAGGATCTAGATGAGGAAGAGAGGTTGCCACAACGTTGTATCTAGGAAAACTGGGGCATGTTTATGTTAAGAAAGTAGTCTTCTAGCTGACTGAAACCATGTGTCCCTGGAAATACTCTCGGATGGTCCTTGGATAGAATTTGGGTTTCCTAAGGGACAGACTGTTCTCAAAGAGCTTTATGATGGGAAGGACAGGAGTAACTGCCAGCTCAATGGGCAGGGTCTTTTGTCTTTTGATGGAGTTAGTCCAGATGACCCAAAATATGACCTATCTCCACAGGCTCTGTATCATCAGAGATGGCAGCATCCTGATGAAGCTCCCTGATGATGCTGTAGTGCCTCCATGTACTGGTGGTAGGATCGTGCTCACCTTTCTGGAGCTTGCAGAGGCCTTCACAGGAATAATAACCTTCTGGTCATAACTCTAAGAAGGTGTTTATTATCCTGCTTTTCAAACTACCATTTTTTTGGAAGGTCATATCCTTCAGACTGAGAATGAATGTCTAATCTAAGTCTAAAATTTCTTTGTTAGTGACCATTGCTCCTTGCAGTCACGCCACTCCTGTACTTAAATATCAACAGAAAGTTAAATCTTGCTAGATGTTGAGAGTTCTGGTTAAGTCTCCAAAGACATCTCTGGGCCAGGGCATGGTCACTCTGCTACATGCCAAGCTGATGGCACACCAGACAGCAAAAGCCTGGATATCTCCTTATTTTGCCATGGACACAGTGGAGTGATGGTACTGTAAACATTCTGGTAGTGCTATGATTGCATCTGTCCTGTCCCAGCAGAGGAGCTCTGTGGCTCCTTCTCACTCAGGGGCAGCCACCCAAACTCCTGGCTGGGGGATGAGCACCTTGGGGTCTGGACAGTTCCCCTTGCTTCTGCTCCACCAGCCCAATTCTTCTTGGACATGCCAAAATTCAACTGCCCTCCTGTTTAGAAAACACAAAGAAAACACAAATCTTCTGCCACTAGAATTAAGCTGCTTCCCATCCCTAAAAGTACCCTTATCAATGCAGATGTTTATTGCAATCAGTCCTAAAAGAGGAAAAGAGATAAACTGACATCTTAACCTTCTAATGCAAGTCTGTTGTGTGACCAGCCTGGCATGGGAGCTGGGGCTGTGCCTGGATACCCGGGGGGGCTGTGGACCAGCCCCCCTGCACTGCATTGTTTAAGACCATTGCTTTTAGCTAAAGCAGCAGCTGTTGCAAAATGCAGGAAATGTATTGTTCATCCCCCACTCTCCTTTAATTTCTTGTTAACGATAAATAAACAAATAAATCCCTCCAAGACAAATGTTTGGAGTAGAAGCTCCAGCTGGAAGGATCTCGTGTCTGAAGGAGGTTTGTGGA